CCAAAGAAATAGTTCATAGCTGCATAAACTCCGATTGATTAAAAGTTTTATAAGTGTCTTCTAGCTGAAAGAAAATCAAAAGAATGCTAAAAAAATAAGTCATAAACCAAGAGAAAATTTTGGAAGAGAATAAGCAGAACAGAAAAGTAAAAATTATGTGTATAATACTAGAATATGAATTAGATATCAATATACAATTTATCTAAGCCCACAAATTGCACAACACAAAGAAAAAACCCTAATACAAACTATGGAATTAAAGTGCTGTTAGCATATTGGGCATTATAATGTAGTAGTTAGGGTCATCAACTATGACATACATACATGCTAGAGGATATTGTCAGGGAGGTTGTGTGTGTGAGAGAGAGAGAGAGAGAGAGAGAGAGAGAGAGAGAGAGAGAGGGAGGGAGGGAGGGAGAGAGAGAGAGAGAGAGAGAGAGAGAGAGAGAGAGAGAGAGAGAGAGAGAGAGAGAGAGAGAGAGAGAGAGACTGCTGATGTGGGATAATATTCTTGCTCTCTAAATATTGGTCACTCATATCAGTTAAGTGAAATGCTGATTGGCCAGTAGCCAGGCAGGAAGGATAGGCATGGCTACCAAACTAGGAGAATTTTGGGAAGAAGAAAAGCAGAGAAGCAGTCACCAGTCAGACGCAGAGGAAGCAAAAGGTGAATGTGTGAATGCAGTACTGAGAAAAGCTGCTAAACACAGATAAGAATTATGAAATAATTTAAGTTGTAGGAGTTTGTTAGTAATAAGCCTGAGCAACAAGCCAAGCAGACTATAATTGATACAAGTCTCTGTGTGTTTATTTGGAACTGAAAGACTGCAGGACTGGGCGGGACAGAGCATTCATCTATAGACTGGGACTTACATGGGATGTCTCGGGATCTTAGTTTCTCCTTAAGCCGAAACTGTTCTAATAAACATGAGGTCACTGTGATGGAATATAGTAAGTTCTCATAGAACAAACTCTGAGCATTTGGATAGACACAAAAGTGGTCACTGTAATCAATCTAAATAAAATCCAAAAGTTAGTGAAGTCAGTCAGCTAACCCTATTTTTCACTCATTAGCTCTCCCTTTAAATAACCTCTGGCACACTGAGTGATTACATGCATAACAGGAGTGATGGTGTGAAGATTACATTATTCTAAAATATAGTTGTAAAAGCACATATTGGAATATTCATCAGGTGAACTTTGCCCAGCATACTGAAAATGATAACATAAAAAGTCAGCTGACTAGAACTTCTTGAAGGAATCGTGAATGTTATCAATGGATTTTTAGATCCTAAAATAATAACTCTCTAAAACAAATCTGAATTACTCTCTGCCTAGGGGCACAACCCTCTGGTAGGAGCCAACACACTAAGTCATATAGTTCTAAACAAAATAGCAGCATTTCCAAGGCCACAGCTTAATCAATTAAACTCTACGTTATTTAATGCCTTAAAATAACAGAAACACACCTGGTCATAGTCCCAGGATTGGAGTCATCATTGGTTTTCAAAAGTGATTTCTAGTCTGTTTCCTTCAGAATATATAAAACAACAATGGTATTGTAGTGATTAATGTAGAAACTAAAAATATAGAAGGGAAATGATATTATAAAGAAAGAACTAAAACTAGATAGATAGATAGATGATAGATAGATAGATAGATAGATAGATAGATAGATAGATAGATAGATAGATAGATAGATAATGTTATTGAGAGTACCAGGGTAGATGAAGGACCATAACTTTTTATTACTCTTTCTTTCTAATAGTTTTAAGATGTATGCATGAGTCATTTTTATACCAAAGTCAATGTCCAAATCTGTCCAAGAAATATCTTTGAATATAAAAATAATCAGTAGTCTTTTAAAAATCATTTCATTTTTAACATTTTCATGGGTAATGTTATTATCCAATTCATTTGCTAAAAAAGTTCCATGCTTATCATCCTTAGAGATGCCATTTTTAAGAATCTTGATATTACAAAAGATTGGTCCAGCTATTGTTTTTTCATAAGAATGTTTTCCTGAGACTTTATAGCTGAGAACCAGGTATAAGACCATAATTACCAGCCTATGGATACAGAGCTTACATTTTAACACCTCAGCAGAGTCTCACTAATATTTATTCCTCTAAAATAACAAATATATTTTCCTGTTAGTTACAATAAGGACTATCTTGGATTGATACTTGAATGTTTTTACAGGGTCATTAGGTCTAAGGCATATTTACAATAAAAGACTGAAAGACGGGTTTACAACAACAAGGAACTGATGAGTCCTATTTGGTTCAAATGCAGAGAATAACTGAGTGTAGGGTTCCCAGTCCCAACTGCCATGTCAACCACACAATCCCTATACCTAACATTCAGGGAACATTGCGGAAGAATGGCCAGAAAGAGTATTTGAGCCAGAGGACCTGGATGTCTGCTGAGATATCTTGCCTATTGTACACAACAGAGAAGCTGTAACCATGAAATCTCAACAGTATGGTTACCTAAATAAGACCTAAACAATGACAACACTAGTTGACATGGCAATATGGATGATGAAATTCTCACAAGCCTCCCCCCAATACAAAGAATTACAAACAATTGCTGAGAGGGAGAACTAATCTTTTCCAGGGATGAGACCCCAATCGGTTATCTAATATCGAATTGGTCAGCCTTAAAACCCTGTACATAGAAGCAATGCTAAATGAACTCACCAGGTTGTATTTACATGCATATATGTATGCATACACACATATACTATATTTATATGAAACAATAAGAACTAAAGAAAAAGATGCCATGAATTTGTGAGGGTGTTGGGTGGAAGGTGTTGGAGGGAAAAGAGGGAATTTCTCAAAACTTAAAATTTACAAAAAGAATAGTGAATAAGTCAAATTTATCAAAATGTAAAAACATAATATATCTAGATTTAAATGTGTTTATTATAAGAAATGCAAATTTAAACATGATCAGTCCTTTATTCTAATCAACCAGCTATGAATCCATATTAATCTCTGCCTACTGAACAAAAAACTTCCTTGAACAAGTTGAAGATCAGTGCTAATGACTGGATATGAACATGAGTATTTATAAGGCAATTTGTCACAAGTCCATTTAAAAAAGCATTGGACCTATGATCGCCCCAGCCTGGTACCAGTCCTTGTCCAAGTTTACAGTACCAAGCCTGGGGATCAGGTCTTGAATACAATCAGAAATTGGTTGTTTATCCTCATTACATTTATGGCATCATTGTACCACTTGTCACATCTTGCCATACTACTTTCTGTTGTAGCTGACAGGGTTAATAGCCAGGTAAGACTGTTGATAAATTTTCTTCTCCTTGGTAGCCTACACTACACTTTCTGGCACGATTAAAGCTTCCCTGAAGGGAGGAAGCTTCTAGCTTAGTTCCAGCTTAATTTCTCCAGGCTTTGGGAACATGGATATAGTGTCTTCAGCAATAGGCGATTAGTTGTTGTGATAAAATACCCTGATAAAAGCACCTTAAAGGAGAAAGTGTTCCCATCACTGTGGGACAGTAAACACAGGAGCACAAAACATCTAGTCACATCCATAGTCAAGAAAAAAGAGAATCAGTATGCATGTTTGTGCGCACCTCTTTCTCTTCTGTATACAGCCAAGAACCAGAGAATACTGGCTCATTTTGACACAGCATCACAAAGGCCTTTCCAAATTGTAATAGTAGATTAAAAAGCACCTATCATACTTGATGACAAAATGTTAAAAAACTTGTTTTCTAGCATCATGTATGAGTTAATGACATTATTCCTCCCATTTTCATTCCAATTTGTGCTGTCAAACCTAGTTGCACTGTAAGAAAGAACAAGACAACATAAAATTAAATTGCTGTTTTGTACATAGAGTACATATGATTATGTATGGTGAAAATGCCAAATAATATAAATTACAAGAATTAAAATAATTTTAGTTTAATAAAAACTATCAATATTCAGGCTTAAGTATATTTCTCCGTAGCAGTCACAAATGAAATGTCATACAATAACAAAATGAAGAATATTAAATTACAATATTCATTTTGCAAATACTGTGCATTCTTGATACTTATTTAGAGAAGAATCTATAGAGAAGAATAGAAAATTTAAGTAAAGAAAGTTGTACTATACCTATTGGAGCCATGAGCCTCTTTACGGATAAGTTTTGCTTTGGACTTTCTCCAACTGTATTAGGTCTCTTGGACACCAATAAAAACTGACAATGATGTTCACTCCATCTTCTCATCATTGTAAGCAATTGCGTTCATCATTATTAATTTTTCAAGTTAATATGATTCTTAGTTTTCTCAGAAAGAAAGCCCTATCCCATTTAATGAATGTTTGTCCTCTCCTAAAAATGTTACATGATTTTTTTAATAAAAGCCTTTTTATGCATTCCAAAGTTTATTGGTCAATATAAGACCTTATACATTTTTTATACAGAGTAAGAAGAGAAATGGGTCATGCCAAGATTGAATGTGGAAAATGGCAGAGAGAATACATGATTCTAATTTACCCTCCACCTGCATTTAAAGACTATTAAATAAGGTCATGCCTTCAGTTGTAGTGTTCTATATGAGAGACAAGAGTCTCATAGACAGAAGACACTTCTTTTGGTTGGGAACTGTCCTGTGTGCCATTAAATAAAATGCTTACTTGTAGGAGGAAGCCTGTATGCCGCCATTAAACATGTGACTTACTAGAGGTGCATACAGATGAGGTAATAAAAGGGCGGTTTACCACACCGCTAACCACACCCACTTTAGGCATGACTAAAGACGTATACGGCTGGATGTAAAGACGTATACGTACGTAGGCGGTGAACTACGTCACTAGCCAGGCCCACTTTTGGGCATGGCTAGGGGGCGTTACGGGGGGAAGGCATAAAAGACAGCACACAGGAAGTCTCGGTCTCTTTCCCGGAGTTCAGCTTCCGGTTCGGCAGCAGAAAACTACTTGGCTCATCTGGGTTACTTGTTTGGTATCTTGTGAGTAATTTCTACAATAAATACTTAGTTTTACTTTCATGTGTTGCTTATCGTTACAGTGTCATTTGGAGCTACACTTACTAGGTAAATATTTAGGCTTAAACCTGCTTAATAGTCTTGATCAGTCAGTATTTTTATCTCTGGGTTGTTTTCTGACTCAAAAACTTAACTGCAGGTTCCTGTAGGTTTTGACAAGGAAGTTAATATCCACCACCAGCAACGGTTGTTGCCTCTTTCCAACAATTGTTTTCTTAATAATGATGATGGAGAATATCATTTCAGTGATGGAGGAAAGTCATCTCACCTACTCCTACCTTACAAAAAAGGTGAAATTTGACAGCATTTAACAGTTCTCTTGCATAAGCTGGACAAAAGCAGTGATTGGATGTTTTTAGCTTGTTTTCTGCAGACATCTTCCCCATCAGATAGATGGGTGAAGAAGAGACAGTTGACAAGATGCTACATAAGCAAGAACCACATGGTTGAAATGTCCACAAATTATTAAAATGAGTCATATTTACAAGGGGAGTTTTACACTCATTTGCGCCACAGTGCAAGATTGTGGCTTGATTTCAATCATGTCATGTGTTTTGTAAATTTCCATTTCAAAGAGAAGGACCTGTTCCAGCAGACAGGAGAGACAAAGCTGTGTTCATGCTGATTAATGCCGAATTCAGACTGATGATGTGTACACACATACATCAATACAAAGTTCTTTGTAATTATGCAAAAATTAGAACAGGGACATAAGTGGCTTGCTAGAAGATATAAGGGCCAGCTTGTTTGATTTTTACAGTGTCTAGATAGCTAAAGAGTGCTCACATTGCTCTTTGCTTTCAGAAAAGAATGTCGTAGCTATTTAAGGATAAGAGAAACCATAATAATAAGGGCATTGGAAGGGGCATCGGAAACTCTATCCTTCTAATTAACTGTCTCATTAGGACAGACTTTCACTTCGTATTATTTTACACTAGTTTTGGAAAGTGGGCCGAATTGAAAAGCATTTTCACCTTGCTCAGGGAAAATGAGGATTTGAATCCCCAGTTGGAAACAAAGCCAAAACAAACAAAAAAATGGAAATGTGTACAGCCTTCATTTTTTAAGCACACCTCCAGCTTCAGCCCTGACTAAAAAGGTGAGTGGTAGGGAAACACAAAAGAGCCTATTCTTTGTGCCTATCTAAACGCAGGAAGTGATGAGTCCCATGGGGCACAGCTTGTGTCTAACTGGTTCCAAACCCAGTTTCTAGATGAAAGGGCCCTGGAGAGGTGGACTTTTGCTTTACTTTGTTAAGCAAATGATGGGCTTACCGCCAATGCTTCATCTAGCTGACATTGTTCTTTGTCCATTCTGTTCTGCCTGAGCCAGCTTCAAGAGCAAAAGGATGCTTGTTGTTTCAGAACTGGATGCGCTGAAGGAACTTTGGAAACCAAATAGTCCCAAGACCATGTTCTTGCATATCAATGTCCCCAGCACTCATCTGGCTTTCACAGATAATTCAAGATTACATAAATATGTCCTAAAATATCTGCCTATTTTATCTCTTGCTATGGCACTTGCATTTTAAGCAAAGCAAGCTAAACATCATTTGAAAGGCCTGAAAATCATGAGGTAAGAAATTAAGTTGAGTCATATGAAAGAAAGAAACAGTGATTCTGACTCTTCCGTGTTTTGAAAGGGGAGGCACCAAAAAAGGAAAGGGATATTCTGAGTGTGGAAGACAGAGAGTAGAAAGTGAGAGACACTCAGAATCCAGAGAACGAGGCTATACCAAAATGAAAGGAATAAATGCTAAATTATGTGATGAGGAAAGTAGGACACAATCACATCATTCCTTCTCACCGACCCCTCCCCCATATGTCAGGATGTCTATTCACAAGCATATGAGTGACTTAATCAGAACCAAAGGAATCACTGGGACAGTAAGTCCCTAGAGCAGTGCTTCTCAACCTTGCTAATGCTGTGACCCTTTAATATGGTTCCTCAGGCTGTGGTGACCCCCAACCGTAATTTTTTTCATATAACATAACATAATTGTAAGTTTGCTACTGCTATGAACTTGAACTGTAACGTAAATATGTCTGAGGTGCAGCCCATGTGAAAGGGTCATTTGACCCCAAAAGAGTCTTGACTCACAGGTTGAGAATCACTGTCTGAGAGGAATAGTCATCCTCCTATATAAGACTGTATCTAAATGCTAAGAAGACAAAACTTCTCTGAAACGTTTCATTCAATCCCATTGAAACTGTCATCTGAGTCCTTTCCAGAAAGACCTTTGTGTAGGCCTAATACCTTTTCTAGGCATTTCAGAGTTTGTATATTATGCTGTGGTGTTGGCCCCATTTTGACTTGGTGTCTAGTCAGGATAAGAAATGGTGGCATGGTTTCATTCTTCTTAATGTGCCTATCCAGTTTTTCCAACATTGTTTATTTAAAATGCAGTTGTTTATGCAGTATGCTTCTGGCTTCCTTGTCAAACATCAGGTAGGTGCAGTTGTAGTTTAATTCTAGGTTCTGCATTCCAGTCCATGGCTCTGTGTGTCTGTTTGTTTAAGCATCATTTTAGTTTTGTAATATGGTTCTCCAGTCTAATTCAAATCTGGTATTGTGAATTTTATTGTTATTTTAGGATAGCTAGAGTCTTTCATGTCTTCATACATATACTAGGATACTTTTTCTGTCTCTGTGGAGAATGTTTTTGAAGTATTTGATGCTGATTATATAGATTATAGTGACATAGACATTCTCACTATGTTTAGTCTGCCAATACATGATCAAGGAAGAACTTTCCATTTTCTAATGTCTAATTTTTTTTCTTCAGAGTCTCAAATTTTATTAGTAAAGACATTTCAAAACCTTGGTTTAATTTATTCCCAGAATTTCTTGGTTTTTCTTGATTGCTGGATTCCTTCTTCTTTTCTCTTCTCTTCCCTTCTCCTTTTTTCTGTTGTTAATGGGATTATTTGCCTGACTTCTTCTTCAACAAATGTATAAGATTAGTATATAGAAAATCTGCTGATTTTTGTCTGTAGATTTTATATCTGATACTTTGATTAAAGTGTTTTTCTTTTCTCCTTCTAAGACTTTTCAGAAACTGAATGGGATATGGGGTTGGTGGGGGGCAGAGGAGAGGGGGAGAGAGGGAGCTGGGATTGACATATAAAAAAAGCCTGTTTCTAATTTTAATAAAATAAAATAAGACTTTTCAGATAGTCTTTAGCATCTTTTATAATACCATTGCCTTAAAATAGGGATAATGTAACTTCATCCTTTCCTTTAATGTTACTTTAACTTCTTTCTCTTTATTATTACTCTAATACTTCAAAGACAGTTTTGAATGCGAGTGAAGAAAATGGGAATCCTTTTCCTGTTCACTAATATTTTGTTTTTTCCCAGTTTTTTGAAATGTCAGATATAGGTTTGTCACATGTAACCTCTGTTTTATTGAATTATACCTCTTCTCTAACTTTTCCAGGATCTTTAACGTGAAAAAGCTTTGTATTCTGTCAAAAGCCTTTTCTGCATCTATTGAGATAATCAAGGGATTTCTGCCTTGAGTATATTAATGTGACGGACTATAGCTGCTAATTCACATGTGTGGAATCATTTTGGAGTCCCTGGAATGATGTCAACTTGGTCATGGTGTTTGAATTTTCATATGTGCAGTCAAATTCAGTTTGCAAGTATTCTACTGAAAAAATTGGATCCTTCTACATCCCTGAGAAGGCCTACAGTTCTTTTGGTTATTTAGTTATTGCGCTTTATCTGGTTTTGATGTTCTGTCATTTAGCTATGTGCATAATATGAGCAACTCTACAGGAACTGGTTCGTGTGTCTGTGTGTGTGTGTACATATATATGCTGGATCATATTCATATAGTTATTATATTCCTAATTTTTCTATTTCTAGTACTAGGTTAATTTGCATCTTAAATAACAGTATAAAAGAGTAAATATTTTCCTGTAATGGTATTTGATTTTTTTCTTCTTGATATTATGACTTAGATGACTAAAATATCAATGTACTTTTGGTATATATTTTATTGATGGCAAAAGAAGTTGAATTTTTAACACATTTATTGCAACAGAACAATATTTGAAGTTAATTAAATTGATTAAAATCAATTTTTGTATATTGGTGCCTGTTCTAATGTTGGTAGCACATTCCCATAGAGTGATAAATTACCAGTTAAAGAAGTTTATTTTGGTTCAGAGTTCTGGTGCAAAATCAAGGGACAACATTTGACAAACCGTTTTCTAGATAGAGTTAAGAGATAATGTAGAGCATCCTAAGAGGAAGTACAAGGTTCTGTGTATGAGCTACCCTGGTTCCTCTTCCTTTTCACAATAACCCACAAGCATCCACACATGGAGGTCTTATCCTGATGTCTTTATCTAACCCTAATCACTTCCCAAGTCCTCATTTCTACACAATATAGTTGGATTAAATTTCACTCTGTCTATGCCCCCTAGTGATTATCAAACTCAATCCTAAATTTCAGAAAAGTATTTCATAGTCAACACATGGCATCAAGTGATAAACTATTATCAAACTAAAATAATTAACAATGTGGAATTACTGAATAAGTAAAAGAAAACCTGCAAATATATAATATTTCAATGTTTGGTAAATGTGGTTTGCAAATACTGACATGGATAGAGTATTCAATTGTTTCAAGAAAGCAGCTAATAAATGAAAAGGGGAAATTAAGTTAAGCTTTCTAATTTATCCCAATAATCAAATAAATTGAATATAGATAAAAGTTTATTATGTAAACCTCATATAGTTAAAGCATTGAAAATCACATGTAAGAGAGAAAAATTAATCAAGTATAATAAATTTGGCAGCATGTGGGGAAAATAGAAACTTTTCACATCTTTTTTATTACTTTCTATGAGTCAAAATTATTTCAAAATAAAAGGTTAAAGAATTAAGAGGAAAGTCTACATGGCTTAGATCTAATGAAAAGAAACTCAAACATTTTTTAAAAGTTAAAACATTTAAGGATTTTACTACTTAATAAAGTCAAAATTATGTGGTGACATCACAATCTGTTTAATAGTAAAAAAAAAACACTGTAAGTGGCAAAAGGTAGTGAATGATATTGGTAACCAAATGACATGAAGTCCCAGTATTACTAACCACAGAGTATTTATTGTCACATCAAAATAAAAGACCTGAACCACTACAGAACACTAGGTGGAGCACAGAGCATACAAATGATATGCAAAGCAAGGAATTCAAAGAACCAATTAATATGCATTAATATGAAAACCACCACCTCTAATAAGGAAGCTAAAATATAAAGATACCTGTGAAATTTCCTAAACTTAAACATTTTTGAAGGAATAGTAATTATAAATGCCACCATGTTATTATGGAAAAATGAATACACTCACAGGCTGGTAATGGTAAGAAGAACTACAAATCATAATACAGTTTTTCTGCTAACAAAATGAGTCAAAAATTCTAAATAAAAGTGGGATTCCAAAAATAACAAGTGATTTATATAATCCCAATAGTTGTTGTTTGCAAATTACAGGTAAGGAAATCAGTTGTACATAGACCAAGTAATATATCAATTACAAACATGAATGCTTGATTCTTTCTGACATTCTCGACCACCAAGGATTTTAGTACTAGTATTTTAAACAGTAAAACTACCCTATAGATTATAAATAAACACAAAAATATCACATAGTGATATGAGTCAAAAATATAACAGGGTTATCTTCAATGCCTGGATCTTCCAGAGTTATAAATGTGTTGACCTAGTGACAACATTAAGTGTGATATAGACTCCCATAAAACATATCTGAAGTGAAGGTCATGCCACAGCCTTCAAAGCGAGAGTCAATGCCTCAGTACACACTATGGTCTACATTGAACATACTATGACTCTTCACCTCAAAAGGTCTATCTGATGAACTTTCACCCTTGAAACATTGAGCCTTCTAGCTTCTGCTGTGTCAATATCTCAATTTTCACAGAGCTGCTACAGGCTAGGTATGGGCTGATAAACACTGTACTTTAAATTGATTTAGTAATCAAACATTGCCCTGTGAAGAGTCTCACAATAGTAATAAATGTATTTGTAACTTGTTATCCATGTTCTAGAAAGTGCTATTTGGTGTTCTATACTGACCCACTTGTCTGACTCTTCTCTTTACCCTTGTTGAGGTTGACTGACTTGGTTTGTAACAAGCCAGACTGAAACGTATAGATATGTAATTTGAATAAATTATAAAATAGCCATTGGCCAAGAATCCAAACCTGGGTGGAATCAAATAATAATGGCAGGATACTAGTGTACTTACTGGTCCAAAGACAGAAGAAAGTGAAATTCTACCATGAAGAATGATTTTAAATCCAATGATACATAAAGGAATCTTAGGTTAGAGCAGTAATAATTGACTATCAAAGGAGAGAAGTAAATACCCATGGATATTCACTTTTAGGACTACTGAATGTACAGAGATGCTGACAGATTTGAATCATGGGTAAATAGAACCACTTTTTCATAAACACCCAACACTCAACCCTAATTATAATAGCTTATATAACTAAACAACGAAGAACAAACTATTAAATATTATAGAATGTTGATTCTA